TAATCACGCTCTTCTAAATCGCCATTGAAATGATGATTCTTCTCATGGGCATTTATTTGATGATATTGACTGTTAGCGAGATGTCGCTGTACTACTCACTCATCTATTTCGATATCTTTCGTTTCGGGGTGTGGGTGTGGATGTGGGTGTGGATGTGGGTGTGGGTGTGGGTGTGGGTGAGTGTGGGTGTGGGTGTGTGAGTGTGGTTGTTGATCTTCTCTTCATCCACACCCATACTCACACCCACACACCCACCCACACTCACACTCACACCCACACCCACACCCCCACCCACACCCACACCCCACACCCACCCACACTTTGAGATGATTTCTACTATTTGCTCCAGGCAAATGGTTATTTCAACCTGACTTTGATTATTTAGGGCAAAAGAATGGTTAATGAAAAATAATTTTATCAAAAAAATCAAGTTGCTTACAGATTGGACTAAACAGACTCATAAGACATATCATGAATAAAAAGACAGACGAAGCAATTATTGTGTTCCTTGATAAATCAAGCTGCATGATTTCTAACCAAAATATAATATATGAGAGAATTTTATTTATATGTCAGGAGTATCAGCCTTTTCCATAGACAATTTCCTCATCAATAAAGGTTTATGTTTCTCTTATCAAATGTTAAATCAAGCAAGTTTGATGACCAATTATTATTAATCCTTTGTCAGTGCTTCGTAATGTTACAAAATAAAAAAAAGAAAAAAAAGAAAAAGTGCAAGTCACGATAAGAGTCATTTTTTATGTTCTTTCTCTTCTGTTAAAGGTATAAGGACGACAGTCCTTACATACATCACTCAAGGACTTTATACCTCTTTGTTTCATTCACATTTTTTCTTGTTCTTTCTTTCTTCCTTATTTTTTTATCTAAGTGATGTATTCATTCGAGTCAAAGTCCGCGTTATAGAAGGATTGTAAAAAAAACGAATAAAAAAAATGGTCTCTCTTATTTCTAATGAGAACAAATGCTTTGAATCTAAATAAATATTATTATCATGCAGTTTTATAGATGTATATATAATAGTGAAGCGTAGCCATAGATATCTACCACTCTTTATTAAAGATATACAAAAATGTGGTGGCATTGGTTTGTAAGATTAAAAAATGAAATAATCGAAATTATTTTAACAATAAAACAAATGATATGTAGACCTGTAATGATGATTCTTCATTGTCTTTGGTTGGTTATTACATGCCAAGAAAAAACTTGGATTCAAAATGCTAAACAATTAGCCGAACAAGATAGATTGAAAAATGATGATATTGGACCAAATGAACAAATTCAAGGAACGGCTTTAGCAGTAAGTTAGAATTAAATAATTCTTCAATGTCTTGACTAAATTAATTTGTCCTACTAATGGATCATAAAATAGATGATTTTTTTCTTGTATTTCCACATTATATTGTTTTGTTTACACTTTTAGTACGAAATGACTCCGCCATCTTTAGCAGTTCGTTCAGCATTGAGATTACAATTTTGGATATTTTACTGGAATCATCTACGTGAGCAAATCAGACTAACGAAAACACTGCCAGCCAGTCTTACAGAACTAGATCAACCTGTACCAGACACAGCAAAATTGATACCAGTTCTAACAGAAAATATTGATTTATTGAATAATTATATAGATATTGAACCAATTAGTTTACGTTCATTAATGAAACATGGACGTTATTTAGTTGTTAATTTTGGTAGTTGTACATGACCACCGTTTTTATTAAGTTTATCATCCTTTATGAAACTTGCTTCATATTACCAAAATTTAAATTATCCAATTGATTTTATTATAATTTACATACGAGAAGCACATGCATCAGATGGATGGAAATTTGATGGAGATGAATTTAGTTTTATACGAAATCATCGAAATATAAATGAACGATTAGATGCTATTAAAACAATGGTAGAAATGGCAAATATTACTAAAAATCACAATATACATATTTATTCTGATACTATGAATGATCGAGCAAATCATTTATTTCGTGCTTGGCCAGAAAGACTTTATGTTTTATATGATGAAAAGATTTTATATCGAAGTGGGCCCGGACCAATTGGTTATTCAATACCATCATTGGATTATTTTTTAAAAAAGAATATTATTGTTCAAAATTAGTTTATTTATTTTTTGTTTTTCTTTACTTGTGATGATTTGTATCGAAATTGGTTCAAATACCAAAGATACAAGACTGATTTTTCTTCAAGAAAAATAAAAAATAAAACAAAGCAATTATTTTCAAGGCTTCCTCTCTCAAAAAAAAAGTCAATTTTCGTTAGCAATTTCGATACATGGGAGTATAGTTCTTCATCGGCTCTTTCATAAATGATAAAAGTTTTTCCTTGGTACCTCATTTTTCCCAAAAATTTTCCAATATTTCTGTCACGCGTAACCCAAATTTCTCCATCCAGTCTTAGTCAATATATTTAATTTTTCTTTTTGTTTGAAAGAGCACATCAAGATGTAGCGCCTAGTAGAGTCCTTTTTCTAAATTAAACTTCATTTTTGTTGTATATACAATCATTTATGTGAATTGAGCCCATTTTTCAAGGGTTTTTGAGTCATTGAACTTCTGATCCCTTCTTTTCGCTTCAAAAGTGACTAATCACTCATTTAAATTATCTTTCAAACAATCTAAGTCTACATATCATAGCTGTCTCTTCTAACAATTGACTTAATTCAGAAATTAAATGCGTTAAAAATTATAACGAAAAGAAAATCGTAAAAAGCGTACATTTTAATACGTTGAGAACGAGTTGAATTTTTCTAACGCGTTTTCATGTGTTATTTTTAACTTTTTGTCTGATTGAGTAGTTATGGAATTGTCTTTTGTTCTATTGACCGATTTCAATCACTACCTAAAATCACAACTACATAAAACAGATAAAACATGCTGTACTGATCAAGTCGATTGTACTGCTCCTTCTCTCTCTACTCACAACAATCTGATTCTTGTGTGTTTTGGAGAAACTTCAAGATCAATCTTAGAGTTTTCTGTCTTATCATTGGATTTGACATCATTTTCATTATATTGTAGTTCAATCAGATTTACTGTTTGATCTTAGCAACAGATTATCTAATATGATGATGTTCGTTACCTGATACGTAACAGTTCGATTTGGTCTGCCATGTGTATATCCTCCAATTTACATGGTAGTGATATTCAATCGCCAACTGGAATGTGACAAAGATCTTCTCGAATATTTTGCTGATTCTTCGACGATGGCTTGTTACACTCGCTTCATCCGTCGCGATTGTATCACACAGCATCCAACAAACGGCAAAATCATCCCAAAAAATACTGGAAAAATAGATCGCATATTACTATTACTAATCATTGATAATGGACCGGCAATTTTTAATGCCATTCTACTCAAGATCAACACAACGAAAACGCTGACGAAGATAAAAAAGAATTTATTTGAACCAATGGCACCATTGATGTTGCTGATCGATTGTCGGTATTCTTCTTGACTGACGATCCCATTCAAACGAATTGGATAAGTCGGATCGAATTCGACTTTCATACATCCAGCTACAACGTCAAATCCAAAATGTCTTAATTAGTTTGTTCAGTAGAACTTACTCTGTACCATAGGTACAACAACTACATTTGTATTTAAACGAGCGACAATCATTATTCACTGAAATATCACACTGATCAAAGCTGTGAAATCGTATTCAATCTGAAATTTCGATGTATAGTTATTTTGGTTGCTTTACACCCTCCGAAAAAAGATGTTTCTATGCTTCAATTCTCGACCGAAACGGTGACATCAATCCGATTATTAGCGAAAAAAAAGGAAAGAAATTAACGCTGTTTGGAGAATTAAAATATTCAGCTTTATATTTTCAAGGCACTCAAAATAAAAAAGCTAACTTCTCTCACAACTCTGAGCGAATCGCACTTTCGTATTCACTCTTCTCGTATTAATTGAGTACAGATACATAGTTTTGGTAATGTATCAGATCTAGGTGACAGGATTTTAGTCATATGAAAATCGTTTGTTTTTTCAAATTCATGTCTATTAATAGAAAACTTTAAAACCAGTAAAAACGATCGCTAATTTTTTATCGTTAAAAATCAATTTGAAAAAAATTGAAAAAAGTCGATTTACATCTGATTGACCATCAGTATTTTCTTTTACATAGGAGTACCTCAGAAATGTAAAGAATTGTTGTGAACCGATTTAATTCGGCAACTCAGATGCAAGATTCATGCTTCTTATCGATCTCAACATAGAAATATGAACATTCAACCGATCTTTCAAAATTTGTTCAGAGTTCTCATTTGTCATACACTCAATATCGCCAATATCTGATACATGTTACTTTGATCAGTCTTTTGAAAGATGAAACAAAACTCATCTTCTCCTCCAAGTAGAAGTGAAACTTTTTTCGGATTCTCTGTCGAAGATGGAGCACCTCTCATTCGATTCCAGCCTTCAATTTTTTATCCTATCGAACCTCAGTATGCACTATTAGGGCAACAGTAGAATCTGTCCGAAAGGAATAACACAGATGCTTACTGAATATAAAAAAACAAGAAACGAACGGTAGAAAAATAATACAGAACAGCATTGAAAAGAGAAGTAATCATCAGTGTTCTCAAGGACAAATGAAAGAAACCTCTTTATTTCTGTCACGTTGCGAAATAAGAGACTATGTAATCGCGCAAGTGTGTGAAAAACAAGAGAAAAAGTCTATATAAGTAGATTCTATAAGAACGCGTACAATTAAGAATGAGAATCAGACAACTTTTCGATCGAAAACAAAGAAGCTGAATTCAAGCGCAAAAGTGACTGTTGAGTCAAAGATGCTTCGTTCATAAACGATGGACGAAAATTACTGCCATTGAAAATACAACTCCGATGAAAAAATATCTTCATTATATCTTTATGAAACAACATTCTAAGACAGAAAAAGCAATATCATGGGTAAAATAAATTTATCTATAAGAAGAGCGATCAATTAATTATAAATAATGTTGTATGGAAGAAGCATATTGCTCTGATAGCATTGTAAGAATTGTTGATGTAATTAAATGACGTCATTGCATAGGTTTATTTTGATAAATAGATGTGAGTTTTATATAAAGCGAGTTTTTTTCTGAGTGAGATATAGACTGGGAGTGGGTGTGGGGTGTGGCTGTGGTAGGAATGAAGATTCACACCCACACCCACACACCCACCCACACCCTTTGTCGTTTGATTTCTTCTGAGTAGTTTTTGTTCCATGCTAGTATGCTTCCCAAGTATCCAAACTTTTCGACGTTTTCGATATTTTGATGGTCTATTCGTATTTATATGTCGATGTTTTGGCCCTAAATACCATCGCTTTAGTTTTTATTGTGTTTACTATCAGTCCAGATGCATAATCACAAGGTAACAAATCAACGCAAAAAACAGATATGCACTATACATGTAATTTCTCTATTTACAAAAAGCTCATCGTCTCTACTTGAAGTTACTTACATCTATTTCCAGTCGTTCAAAGGGATTAGAATGTCTGAGAGTGACTTGCTTTGCTGTTTAGATTAAGTCATATATCGATTGGTACAGACAAATTTAGTTTAAAGAAGAGTCAATAGTTGTTTGTATTTGGCAGATTTGTATATTAAATTAAGGCGATTTAATTTTAGTATTTACTTCATCACTTGGTAATAACACTAACTTTCAATTAATGTTGTATCGTCGTATTCTTTTAAGCATGATTACATTCGACGTTTGTTGTTTTCTATACTGTATTAAAATTCTACTATCTTTTAATAATAATTCCATATCTTATAATTTTTCTCATATTAATAAAAGTATTCGTCATACAGCAATTATATTAGCGAAAATACTTTCTATTAAAGTTTTAAAACATTTAAATGCTTTAATTAAAGTTGGTGTTAATGCTTTTATTATGTGTGATGAGGAACCATCCAAATATATTAATTCAACAAACCGCATTCTATATATTAGTAATGAACATCTTGCTCAATACGGTATAAGTCAAAATCTTGTTTGGGATAGAGTATTGGTTTGGTTGTATAATCAAAGTTGGATCGATTATGTTTGGCTAATTGAAGATGATGTTACATGGAGTAATATACATCATATAGTTGATTTCTTTAACAGATATGCAAATAATTCAGCAGATCTTTTATCAAGAAATATTATTTATAGAAATAATCAAACACTCAAGTAAGATATCTTTTTCTACTTTTCGATTTCTATTTCATCATTTTATAATGAGTCGTTAATAAAGTTCGATCTTTTTTTCTATAAAACTATAAATTGATATTTTTCTTGTCTCTTTTTTTTTCTAATTTCTATTAGTTGGTTGGGTTGGCCAAAAAAAAGATTTTAAATTTACTGCCTGAACAAAAATGGTCTGGCTCGTTAAATATGCTCTCACGTATATCACGTCGATTAATAAATGCTCATCAATATTATACTCGTCAATTACTCCATATAACAAAAAAACTCAATGCAAGTAATATCGATAGCAACTATTATTATCAAGAGTTTGTCATTCCAACTGTTGCTCATGTTTTTAATTTATCGATGGGTATTTATGATTCATCAAAACTAGATATTGATGTTATTGTACTTGATGAAGGTAATATTCGCCAATCATTAACAGATGGTAGACAAATATTTCATCCTGTCAAACATGATAGTCTACTTTTAGTCAATGCTACTCTGTAAAAATATTCTTGATATTAATATAATTATTTTTACAAGCATGAATAATATTTCTAAAGGACAATAACTCCTGTGTAAAAAGTCTTGGTACAAAATTTTTGTTCGATTTTCGACGACTTATTGATTGCAGGACAGACTCAAAAATAGTCAGCTAGAAAGAGAATTTCTTGTCCTTTCTAAATATATATTCAGAAATTTATTCTAACTTGAACTTGATTTATTAGCAGCAAATATTTGATGGGGACCAAAAACGACGCTTGTACAGAATATTTCATGCAGTCTATTTTTGCATTTGAATTAAAAGTGCTTCAGTTAAAATTGAATGAAAGAGATTTTATACACTAGTTTGCAGAATGAAGCTTGCTCTACAAAATGCTCAATTTACTTTGCTTCGAACATATCATTGCAAACCATCAAAATTCCTTGTATGTCAAACAACGCAATACGGAATAAACGATTATTTTGAAAAATGTTATTTCATAGAAAGAGTAACATTCCGAAGAATATTTGTAACTTTTGATCCTTCTGAGTTCTAGTTTATTGTATCTCATAGTTTCGTAGAATATGTAATTCTCTACAACAATAGGAGGTAAAAATTATCCCATAATACTTTTAGCGAAAGTACGAACGAGAGGGAAAAACAAGCGCGTTTTAGATGTTGCAAACAACATTTTTATTTATTCAGATATTCGCTTACAGCTGACTAGATAAGAAGCAGAGCAAAATTCTAAAAATATATTTAGAAAGACCATCGAATTCTGTTTCTAACCGACTACTTTAGATTCTTTTCGATTATGTTTAAATGATCGAAAAATCAGTCAACATATTTATCATTACCCTTGAAACTAGTGTTTTGCACAAACGCCGTTTTTGGTCCCTATCAAATATTCGCTGCTAATGAATCAAGTTCAAGTCAGAATAAAATTTGGGTGTGGATGTGAGTGTGTGTGGGTGGGAATAGTTATACAGGAGTTATCCACACCCACCCACACCCCATCCTATTATAGTAGCCCTTGAGCCTTCCGTTTATAGCCTTATCTGACCTTTAACCTTTGATCTTTGACCCGGCACAGAGAAACACACACACTGAACATTATATATATAGATAATTGCAGTATTAAATAAACTAGAATCAGCACATAATATATTACCAACTGTATTCATTATTTAATCAATAGTACATGTTTTATTTTTATTATCACTTGAAAAGACAATCACTATTTCAGAAAAATCAAATTATTGCAAAACATTTAAAATCACTCTGGATTAAAATTAGTACAATCCATATGGCAAAAAGCTACACGAAAATGCCAGTTAAGCAAATACAAATATCATTATCAAGTGAATTAAATTTAATTTGTTTAAAATATATTCGCATAGTAAGAAGATCTACAAGAAGAGATTAAAGATGATCAATTAATAACAAGCCAAAAGAAAAAATTTCCTCAAGTGAATATGATGATGACGACGAAAATTAGAGCTTTTAAATTTAACATTTATTGATAACTGAGTTTTTTGTACAAAAGAAATGAACAAGATTTTAAACGTGAATAACGGTATTTTGATCATCAACTCTTGTTACTATTCATTTCACATAATTATTTGTCAATCAGACTAATTAACTGCAAAATAATGAAAGTTTACGATTCGAAAAATAAGGGAAATGAATAATAAGTTTTCTCTTTAAATATAGAACTTCTAGTAATGAAAACCTAGTGCGTTCCATTGATTATTAAAATTGATTCTCTATCATGGTAAGTATCAGTAACAATATTGATCTGTGACAAAATCACTAAAAAAAATGATGAATATAATTTCAGAACTTTTCATATAGAAGCACAGTTTTTTTTAAATTTCCAACATCTTAATAACTCTCTCTTCTTGAATCATCATACGACTTGGAATTATTTGTATTTTTAGTACATTCAGATAGAAACAGACATACGATATTATTTACACGCACAGTGCTTATGGATAAATAGAACAACTTACTCCATTTATCCTTGATTTCTTCTTCCAACAGAATAGAATGAGAAAAACTATGTACTTCGTTTTTTGTTTCTCTACTGTCCTTCCTAGTATCATGCTAGTCTAGAAAGAACGAGAAGAGAAGAATGTTGCCAATAACAGAATAATATCATTCAATGAATATGTATTCTGAGCAAGAACGCTTATATCATCTGACTAAAAAAACAATACAAAATGGTCACATGAACAACATTAAATAATAGAGTTAAATAGGTAAAGCATGGTATCGGAGGCTGGTCTCTTCGTGCCTCTTTTCTGTTATTGGCACCGCAGTATATAAATCCCGTCGATCTGCTTAGTTTTACTCAGGAAAAAATTGTCTATTATAAAATTGTTTCTTCAAACAAAACTAGTGAGTATTTACTGATTACTAACAATCTTTATCATGAGAGCAGTAAGATAAAATTTTGAATATATAATTATTTTTATTAATTCATATTCTATTTCATAGTTGAATTTTGCATGTTTCTTTGATATTGATGGTGTTATTACACAAGGTCCAAATTTCATCAAAGTTGCTAAACCAGCAATTCAAACATTGATTCAACTCAATGCGCCTATTGTATTTGTTTCAAATACATGTATGTTTGAATCAGATAAAGCTAAACAATTATCAGCTTTACTTGAAGTAACTGTAAGTTCATTTATTTTACATATATTTTTAAATTCAGATTCATCCTGAACAAGTTGTTCTTGCTCAAACACTAATGCGTACACTAACTGATTTTCATAATAAACATGTTCTTATTTCTGGACAAGGTCAAGGTGAAGACATTGCTCGAATGTATAGTATTTTAATTGAATTTATTATTTGTAATGTTTATTTATCCTTTATTTAAATAGGATTGATTTTAAAAGTATAACAACAATTGAAAAAGTTTGTGAAGCATTTCCAGAATTGGATATGATTGATCATATGAATCAAGCTAGATTAGTAAATAACAAGAAAAAAAAAGACAACAAATTTCTATTTTTTTTTAAATATTTATTGTGCATTGTAGAATGAAATGATTCGTATTCAAGGTCTTGTTCATGATGAGAATTTCCGGCCTATTGAAGGTAGATATTCGTTTTTGTTCTTTTCATCAACTTTTTCGTTGTTATCATTTTTTTAAGCTATTGTTTTACTTGGTGAACCTATTCAATGGGAAAGATCATTACAAGTTATTATTGATCTTCTTTTAACAGATGGTAAATCCTGCTATAGTACCATCTGATTCGAATACTGATCATGAACATATACCTATCATTGCTTGTAACAGAGATCTTGTATTCAAAGCTGCTGCAAATTTACCACGTTTTGGTCATGTTGCTTTTCTTACATGTTTAGAAACATTATATAAAGTAAATTATGTTTTTTTTGATTGATAAGAAAATTTTCTATGAACTTTTGTGTTTTGATTTTTATATAGAATATAAGTGGAAATAATATCAAATATACAGCATTTGTTGGTAAACCATTTGAAATTTCATATCAATATGCTAAAACAATAGCTAATAAAATAGCATTAGCTAATGGTCAATCAAAAATTGAAAGAGTTTGTTTTATTGAAGATAATCCAGATGTTGATATTGTTGGTACAAATATGTATAATCATTTATTACAACAAACGATACATTTAAGAACAAGTATTAGTGGTTATAGTTTATTAACAGATTTAAAATATTTAAGTCCAACAACATGTGAATCAATTTTAGTATGTACAGGTGTTTATGAACCAAATAAACAAAAACTTGATGGCAAAAATCCATGGAAATTAGCAACAAAAATTAAACTTGATGTTGTTGAAGCTGTTAAATACATCATTTTGAAAGAAGCATGACCATGGATTATTAATTATTAGATACATTGTCATACATATATATGAAGAGCCATGGTATTTTTTTTTAATGTATATAATTCTGTGTCAGATGATGTTTTTATAGACTTGCCATTTTAATTTTGTGAAAAAATGTGATTTATGTAAATATGTATAGATTATAAATAAAGATAAAGAAAAGTTTTATGTTGTTGTAAAAAAAACATCACTATGAAAAATTAATTTGAATACCTATGTTCTATTCTGGCATTTACAATTCAAACGAATTAAACTACTAAATCTAGATACTAGATAAAAAACATAATTCATCATTGACTATTATGTTTATCTATGAATCATTCTATTATCATCTATATATAAATAAAGTCCTTGATCTATCTTTTTCTGACAGTAGTTGTATACAATCAATGTTTTATAAGAACATTTTACATAAATATTCTATCGTTTTTTTGCTATTCTCAGAATGAATAATGAAACAGCATCTTTTAGGTATAAAGTTTTTAATCAATTCTAATGTAAATTTTTGGAAATATTTATCACAGAAAAGGATACTTCAATCTGTGAGCAATTGTTTACAATATAATATTCTATTTCAAAGAATAAAGTAGAATAAAAGTAAGATCTTTTTCAATGTTGGTCCAGTTCAAATGGTTATTTGATAAGAATTTCGACTCATCGATTTGAAGGTATCGTATACATCGAAAGTTCAAATTTGGGTGTGGGCATGGGTGTGGGTGAGGGTGTGGGTGGGTGTGGGTGTGGCTGTGGGTGGGAGTGTGGCTGTGGGTGTGGGTGGGATGTGGCTGTGGGTGGGAGTGTGGCTGTGGGTGTGGGCGGAGTGTGGCTGTGGGTGGGAGTGTGGGTGTAGACTGTGATGTTGTTTTCCACACCCATACCCAAATCCACAGTCACACCCACAGCCACAGCCACACCCCACACCCACACCCACACCCACATCCACATCCACATCCACACCCACACCCACACCCATACCCACATCCTAGTGTGGGTGTTGTATGTGAGTATGTGGTGGGGGTGCGAATGTATCATATTTTCACTCATACCCACATTCTCAGGTATTTTTGGTAGTTTCCATCGGAAATCTGAGCTTCTCGTCCTATCAAGCTTATTAGCTTATATCTGTCGCACAGTTTTGTTGAAGCGAGTCGGTAAAACCATCGAATCTTTGTGAAAAAATTTAATTGACTGCTCACTTTCGTTGCACAGTTTTGAAGACATCATGTATATTTTGAATGGTGTATGGCGTTGTGAAGAAAATCAAATGAAGTCATGGTATTGAATACTCTTTTTCCAACTTTCAATTCATGCACATTTTCCGCTCTTTTATCTGTCTGCTTGATGAGTAGTAGAACTGGCAAGAATAATAGATAACATATTCGGGGAAAAAACGTATCTTGATAATTTATAACGATAAACAATTTAAATTATACAGGTGAATGCACATACGGTTAATTTATTCACTCTCATATGTAATATATAAATATTGATGATTTTTTTTTTCTCTTTCATAAAACAACATCGACACATTATAGTGTCATTTTCGTCGTCAGTACGCGAAATTTCAATCCAATATATCGACTAAAGGTAAGCTTCAGCAAATTGTGTTCTTCTCAGCAGAAATTCTTCTTTATCAATATTTAGCGGATTTTTCTTTCTTCCGTTAGTACCAGTTAGCTTATATGCTATTATTTTCTCGTCATAGTGATTATTTTACTGCTGATAAAATTGTTTCGAAATTAGTAGGAGAGATTCATAATGGTAAACTCAGTTTTCTCATGGAGCGGTTTTATGAAATAGTTGTTAAAGGTTTTAAAAGCTCTAACGTAGAAAAAAATCGTTCAAAACTTATTTGTTTTTACTGTCGGAAAAGATGCGAAGTCGTGAAAAGAATCATATGACAATTGTACAAAAAATAATGACCGCATGAATTCACAGAAGTGATGAATTTGTTGAAACATTTCTAGCTCTGAAAAGGCGCTGCTTGTTTTTTGGTCACGATGAACACTCATAAGTCCAGCGCAGCTTGATTTTCAAATGATTCGATAGTGCTTTCCGAGCATTAGCAAATAATGATACTCCAGCATTAACGAATTACTAGGTCCTTGCTTCACACCTCTTTCACTCTTTATAGTGTTCAACTGCAGTGACAAAATACTCAAATGTGTTTCTAGAGCTTCGAAAACTACTCTCTGAGTATGCGTCTAGAATGTTCAATTAAAACATCCGCTACAGTTATATAAATGCTAGTTTTGAAGATTTTTCGAAAACATTTCT